GCAGAAGGCAGCGCTAAACCGCTGAGCCACCCGGGCTGCCCAAGTTCACTAATTTTTTATTTAAGTAATCTTCATACCCAATGTGGGGCTTGAACTCACAGCCCAAGATCAAGTGTCACATGCTCTTTTGACTGAGCCAGCCAGGTGCCTCTTATTTGTTTCTTTTTATCTTCTAAAGTAGCCACTAGAAAATTCTCAATCACATTTGTGGTTCATATTATATTCCTATTAGACAATATTGATCTATACTTGAGTGACCCCAACCTTTCTTTCCTTTGAGCCCACACTTACATTACACACTACCTATTTGACATTTTCATTTGTATATATAATTGGCATATTAAACATAATGTGTTCAAATCTCAACTCTAGGCCTCTGCCCATTGAAAACTGCATGTTTCTCTCCTCCCTGTCACAGAAAATGGCAATTTCTATCTTCCAGTTCATCAGGTCTAAAGCCAGAGAATCATCCTTCCTCAACTCTCCCTTTCCCTCACACTCCACACTCAGTCTTTCTGACAACTCATCATCAAAATATTTACAAGAGAGTATTTTAAGGAAGAAAGAAAGCAAGAAACAAAAAGTTCATCTAAGAATCCTTTCTGAGTTGGTCATCACTACAGGATACTGATCAGATATCAGTATCAGAGAAGCTTTATAGAGTGTCACTGAGACCCTTCTGCCCAGGGAAAGAAAGGAAGAAACATTTATCCATTAGTCTTATCCTCCCTTTCTGATTGCTCATGTGTCAGTGCTGAGCCCATTTCTATTAGTGTCCCAAGCTAGGAAGACATCAGGAAAGCCTGGAGAAGGAAGCAGCCTCTACAGTGGTAGCTGGAATAAGAAGTGAGTCTGAGAGGATTTCAAGTGAGATATGAAAGGTGTTTGCCACAACTCTCAGAACAAACCATGAGCACCTCTTCCCAACTTCTGTAATCAGTGACGTAACATTGATAGCTTGAATTGGTTACATCACAGTACTTACACCACGGAAACTGGCAAAAGCTATAAATCAGGCCTCCTCCCTCTTCCCCACCATAGCTAGGGAGTAAACATTTGCTAGCACAACACTGACTACAAGGTTCTGTTTTTCAGATAGCTATAGTTTACCCCTCTCCTGCTCCTTCTCAGAACTGCAGCCACATTTGTTCTTTTTGCACTTCTTTGAAATCACTTCTGTGAGTCCCTCCTTTGGGCCATTACAAATGGTTTTCCCAATCCTAGAACTCCAAGGAGGAGTTAACTTCTTGACCAAGTAATTCCTCCTCATCTTTCATAGCTTAGCTCAATTGTCATTTCCTCTAGAAAGACTCTGCTGACCCCCAGTCCAGGTCCCATTCATTTGTCATATACTCTCAACTGCATGTAAGTGATTATTTAATTGTTTCTGCAGGTAGACTACAAGTTCCATGAAGGAGCAAGTCATCAGCATTTTTCTCACTTTTGCATTTCCCATACTGAGTTTGTATATTTACTGAATATCTCAACAAAAATTATTTAATCAACGGCTATTAAAAACACTTTTACCATTTTCCCATCAGTGAAATTGCAGTTGTTTTAAGAGTAATGAAAGAGGGTCCTTATACTTGAAAATGTAGGGAACCATGTTAGGAGGAGAACAAAAGACATTTTTTGGATGGGCATCACTTCCAGCTATAATCCACTGGGCTGGATTCCAGTCACATAGTCACATAGTCACATAGCTCTGCCTAATTGTAAGGGACATGAGAAATGTATGTTAGCCAAGTGCCCAAGAAGAAAGGATAAAGTAATAAGTTTGATAAACATCTAGCCAATCCCTGTCACAGACTGCCCTTTTGGACATCAAATATCTATCCATTCTTATTCCCTGAAAAATCACACTCTTCCTCTCCCCAAAGAAGATAACCTAAAGTTGAAGCAAAGTACTACATCCAGCTAAGAGTCCAGGAGCTCTGGCTGTTTGCAGTCTTTTCCACCAGGTCCAGGTGTGGCTCACTGTGGTCTGGTAATAATGTGTACCAAACATAAAAAAAATATTTCCACCTTTCCTCAGAAGCATACAACATCCAGGAATAGGGGCAGGTACAGGATAGCTTCAATAAAAACTCCATTAGTGAAAGGAAAAAAGAGAAGACACACAGCAATCACCATGCCAAAGAAGTTATAAAATCTGCTGGGGAGTCACTGAGAAGCCCCCTACCCTGGAGATGGGGCAGTTCTTTGAGTATACAGTGATTCTGTTCTGGGAGTACACTCCCTTATCCATTTTGGGGGGCCCCTGGATCCACTCTGGGAAGTGTTTTCCTGGCTTGTTGGCCACATCTTGCTATTATCCTCCTCGGGGACTATACAGCTTTTGTGGGTCACCTCCAAATAAGGCCATGTATTTTACTCTTGAACATTCAGTTAAATCAAGGTTCATGGTTTCTTCAGCAATAAAAATTCTCTAAAATATTTGGTAGATTTTTAAATCTATTTTCTTCTAATTAATTCTTCATGACAATAACCACATCCCAAGTTCTTTTTTTTAAGCATAGTTTTGCAATCTCTTTTGTATCTTCACTTCTTTACCCCTTGCCTTAGTCTTTCAATTTAGTGGTAAGTGCCTGGGGGTGATCTAAGATAATGGGCTGGGTTAGGAAGAACATACTCTTAAACTGATTCTTGCTGCAATGATAAATCTTAGGCATTTTCTCAAAACCAAGGACCCAGATACCTGGTATTGCTCTACGCCCTTTCATTTCTGCTTGCAAACCAGCCAATACTTTTGTTAGTTTGTCTCTTTTTTATTATAACTCCCCAAAGGCATCCAAAACCACTAACATACTTTAATAAATGCTATTTCCCAACTTCATCACCTAGAACAACAAAGCTTAGTAGGTACATGGTCTAGATTCCAACTGGTTGCTGGTGGCAGTTTTACCATTACATAAGATGCATCTCCAACCCTTTAATATGACACATCTGTTTCCATGCTGTCCTCAGTTCTGTCCCCAGGGGTGCTACCTTAATTCAAGTCATCCTTTCTCATATAAATTAGTCCCCTCATTGGTAGACTCTGAGCCTCCAAAAAATCATCACACCTCATCTCTGCTACCAGAAATGTTCTAAAATGCCAATGAGATCATTGCAACTTTTCATTAAAACATCTGGATGAGTCTTATTGTTTTTGGGCTAAAATTCAAAGTTCTCTGATATCTAGTCTCATCTCTAATTACTCTTCAATGCTCATTTCAGTTACATAAAATCATTTTAGTTCCCGCAGATACACCACAATCACTTTCTCAGATATCCATTATCCTAAGAGATTAGACTAACTACATAGAACCTTTCTTTCTTGAGTAAACTTACTCATCCTTCAAAATGTACCAAAGTCTTTAAATCTCTGAAGAATCCATCCCTAATTACTATATCTTTTTTTTAAGATTTTATTCATTTATTCATTAAAGATCCACAGACAAAGGCAGAGGGAGAAGCAGGCTCCCGAACTCAATCCCAGGACCCCAGGATCATGGCTTGAGGCAAAAGCAGAGCTCAACCACTGCACCACTGAGATGCCAACTCTCCCCCTATTACTATATTTGAATTAGGTATCCTTCCTATTGATTCCAAAGCAGTAGAGCTTGTTTTTATTACATTATGGGTCACACTATTTTGTAATTGTCTATTTATCCTTCTTCATCCAACCACATACAAATTACATATATCAAGTTTGAACTTCTTGAGGGCAAGTAGCATATCTTTTGTCTCTATACATCTCACATAATAAATAAATGCTGGTTGAACAAATGCATGACCCCCAAAATTATGGCATGGCAGTGACCCCCCCCCAACATCAATCTTCAATCTTCACCTCTCTCTCTCTTAACTGCCAGATCTCCAATTCCAACTTCCTAATGACTGTCTCCCTCTATGTGTCTACTTAGCTGATCTAAAACTGAATTCATTGTCTTTCTCATCCCCTTCTTCACTTGCCTAAAATCCATTTATCCCTCTGACTTCAGATTTCAAAATAATGTTATCTATCTACCCAGTTTTCCAGTCTAGAAACTTCAATCTCTTTCTTTAGAAAATCTTTGCTCAAATGAATTGGTATAGCCGGGTTAAAAAACAGCAGAGTTCTTTTCTGCAGCATATCATAGAATTTTCAATATATTAATGCTCTATATGTATCTCAACCAGGAAATGCACTTTTTAAAACTTAATGAACCAGAGATGCTTTTTGCTGAAGTGACTCCCTCAAAACTAATGTTCAGAACACTGCATTTTGAGAAATGCTTCTGTAAACCCCTCCCTCACCGTCTCCCAGGCATTCATCCCCACCATTACTCTATGAGCTTTTCATCTTTGTTTCTACAGCTCCTACGTGGGGTCTACCACAGAGAAGGCACTCATTGGATGAAAAAAAATTCCCATGAAAAAATAACATAACAAGAAATAACAAAAGAGGAATAATGGAGATGAAGTTATGAAGGCTTAAACAGAAATGTGTTTTAAAAAGGCATTTATTTCGGCCACTAGTCTCAGGAAAACAATATCATTTTGTGTAAATAGACTTCCAGGTTCCATCTTAACCAAGTTCCTGATGGAAAATAAACCTTCACTGTAATTTGTCTTAAAGGAAAATCTCTGGGGCTTGGGGGGAACAGACTCAGAGTTTGCCTACCCTATGTACCCTGCTCAACAATAGAATTCAAATCCATAAACCTCTCACTGCTTTATTAACTGTGAATTACATAGTCTGAGGTTCTTATATTATAAGAAATATCAATCTTTTGGAAGATGTGGCTAACCAATTTTGTCCCAATAAATTTCTCTTTCCCCTTAGTGTACTTTCGTCTTAATTTCAGGTGGCCCCAGAGCTTAGTAACTCTTTTAATCATGCCTCCTCACCTTCCATTGCTAAGATTTAAAGTGTGAGCTTTGGTTCCAACAAGGAAATTCCATTAAAAGCACACATGAAGCAAAAGGTTTTGCCTGTTGGTTTGTTGAACTTCTTTGCTACACCAAACACTTACCTTTTGCAATTATATCCATAGAGTCCTTGAATTTTTCCTTTACGCTAAAAATATATGGCTCCTTGAAAGAAGTTCCCTGTGAGGGCTCCTTAAAATGCTCACTTTTGAACAGGTGTTTGGGAAAACAAATACTTTTGTGTGCTGTCCGAAGTTCTTGAACCATATCAGGTGTTTCCTTTTTTTTAATCACCAAAGGTATGAATTTGCCAGATTTTGGTTTTTGATGTTTATTTTTAAAAACATTTATAGAAGTACCTTGAACTTTATTCTGTGAGTAAAACAAAAATAAATTTGATAAAATTTAATTTTAATATTAATCATATATAAAATTATATAATACATTTATTAATAAATTAATAAAATATATCCAATAAATGCATTTTACAAAGTACCTTACTATATAAGATATTTACTATAAAGCACATGGCGGTAAACAGAGCAGATGTTATCCTTTATAGTTCTCCAAAAGCCCTTAACAAGAATGAGGGTTACATTCCACTTCAAAAAAAAAAGGAAATTCTTCAATAGTAATTTTCTACTCACATGTGATATTTTCAAATGCAGCTTAAAGTCTATTTTAAAAGAGAAGTTTTCAAATGGTAGGCATAGAAGAATTTAATAATTTTCAAGCATCTTTTAAGAATTTTCAACTGTCCATAAAATGCTAACTCTCAAACTTCTTTGTTAAATGTAAGAAATTACAGCTCATATACAGAAGTAGGTTCTCAAGAAAAAGATATCAATAATCAGATATGTATTTCAGATTCTTTCAATCACTTAATTCCTTCGTAATTTTGACTACCTTGAACTATAGAAAAATAACTCAGTTCCAGGTCTCTGACAGGTAATTATCCAAACAATTATAATTTTTCTATTCTAGTCATTCTTTTGACCTATAGATAGAGCTATAATTTCCTGCCCTTATCACTCCCCTCCAAAAAAAAAAAGAAAAAAAGGTTAGACAAATTCAAATTATTGCCAACTTAAGACACCAATAAGTAGGCTTTAATATGCTAGTACTATGTTTTGCCAAGCAATCAAAGATGGAAGAGTAAAATTCTTTAAAAAGATCAAGGTTCTAAAGTACATCTATCTAACTCTTTAGACTGAAGTTTCCATCCCATGTGCCTACTAGTGAAATCAATATAATTTAAAATTATTTTCAAAAAATAAAAAAATAAAATTATTTTCAATCGGTTAGAGGAAAAAATTAAACAGTGTTAACAATGTTGATTATAAAATTAAAACCATCTATGATCAGTCTCATTATATAGGACCATTCAAATGAAACATATGTAACAATTATAATCCCTTTCCCTTACACAGCTTTGAAAAATATTTAAAATCATTATCTAAAATTCAGCTTAAAAAAATGTTCAAAAGGGGATAGTATAGTGTGGCACACAGGAAGCCATCCTAAGATTCCTTTCCCTCACTTGTCTCCTCAAAGACTCATTTGTCACAATAGCTGATGGTCACCCAAATTTCCCATCTCCTCTTCAGATGCTTTCCTCTAAAATTTCAGCCTGTGCTGACTCTCCTCTTTGCTGACCCATTCCCTTATATTCCTTCTCACCTTCCAAATCTATGCCATTCAGCAAATATTTATTGAGCCAGCCACAAAGCTTGTTGCTGCAGACACAATAGTCAAAAAGAGAGTCACTGCCCTGGGGGACGGAACAGACTAGTGAAGGGCTCTAATGCAAAGTGATATGTAAGGAGATACAAGGAAGCATAACACGCTGGGGGCATGGGAAAGACACAGCTCACAGCATATTTTCTAGTTTAGCTTTATCTAATAGTGTTTAAAGAGGGATATTTATTTGAGATATGTAATTCAAATTTTTCTGTTAAAATTCTTCAAAAGAAAACATTAAAATTGGATTAAATGTACAAATTAAATATGCATGTAATTAAATAATATGTATAGCTATAAAATCTTATGTTTAAATGCAATCTAAAATCCATTTTTATAGCTAATAAAGATTTCATTTTCTCTTCTATTCACAATCTATTAGGGCTCATGCAACCATTTGGAACAATCATTGTCATATACAAAAATAGTTATTAGTTTCCTAAAAAATAAGTTAGATAAATGCAAAGCATTAACCTCATTTATTTTCTCATAATGTTGGGCAATGAGAGTTTTTGCTTCTTGAAAAAAATCTTGTCTGGTGATCTCTAATATAGGACCTAAGAGATAAACACAAAATGTTTTATTTTTTAATGTAGTTAGTATAATTTCTTAATCACAAATGGCAAAACTATGAGGTTAAAATTTGGGCAGTGATGAATTTTAAAGGTAATTATAAAAGGTAAGTGTTACAAGTAGATGTTAATGGATGCAAAAGAAGTTCATGTTACGCTCCTTCAATGTAATATTTTACTTTAAGACACATCAGCCTGCAACAGTGAGAGTGCTAATGTAGATTATGCTTATTTATTAAAGTCTAGGGGAACCAAATAAAGTACACAAAATCAAAATCCCATTTACCTCTTAAAGTTCTTTAAATGTTACTATACAGAAGATATAACATAACTTGAGCACAAAAATGAACAAATCTAAGTGTGTTTAATATACCTGATGACTAATTCACATGGCTGTACATTTATTTCTTTATGAATATTTACCTTAAAACTGGTTGTTAAACTTATAACTGCAAAATAAACTCAATAGGTTCCTTCGGTAGGAATAGCTTTGAAATAAAAAATACATGCTTACAAGTGGGTAACATTATACTAATTCTTATCTCATTTATATTTTCTTATGATTCTTATTCTTTTTATCCAGAGACACATATAAAATTCTATAGCATAGACTACATCATTCTCATTTACTCTTGTCTAGGTTTTTCTCCTCAAGTATTTCATTATTAGTTGATTCTGACATTTATAAGTGTTCTTTGCTTCCTCTCCTTAACCTGGATTCAGTAAAATTTAAATATATTACCAAATTATTGATTCAAATTGGCTTTTCAGTTTGGCCAGTATGCCTCCCATTCCTATAACTCTATCTCCTTTAATATTCTAAGGATCAAGATTTTCTCTCTTCTTTTCACCTTCTCAAATTTTAAGCAATTAAAAATTTTGTCTTGGGTGTCTGGGTAGTTCAGTCAGTGAGGTGTCTGCCTTTGGCTCAGGTCATGATTTCAGGGTCCTGGGATCAAGTCCCGCATTGGGCTCCCTGCCCAACAGGGAGTCTGCTTGTCCCTCACCCTCTGCTCCTCCTCATCCCTGCTCATGCTCTCTTTCTCACTCTCAAATAAATAAATAAAATCTTAAAAAAATAAAAATAAGTTAAAAATTCATCTTCATGGAAATCAAAACCATAATGAGATACTCTGTCTTAGTCCATTTGGGCTGCTATAACAAAACACCACAGGCTGGGGACTTAGAAACAGACATTTATTTCTCACAGTTCTGGAGGCTGGAAGTGCAGGATCTGGGCACCAACATGGTCAGATGATGGCCCTGTCTCAGGTCCCAGACATCTAGTTGTATCCTCACATGGTAGAAGGGACTAGGGAGCTCTCTGGGACCCTCCTATAAGAGCACTAATCCCTTTGATGAGGGTCCCAGTCTTATGACCTACTCATCTCCCAAAGGCCCTACCTCCTAATACCATCACCTTTGGGGTTTGGAATTTCAACATTCCAATTTGGGAGGGGACACCCAAACATTCAGATTCTCATAGCAGATACCATCACATACCCACCAGAATGGCTAAAATTTAAAACACTGATAACACCCAATATTGATGACAGTGTGGAGCAATTGGAACACTCACATGTCACTGGTAGAAATGCAAAACCAGATAATCGGTTTGGAAAAATTATAGCAATTTCTTAAAAAATTAATAGACACCTATCCTGTGATCTAGCAATCCCACTCCTAGTAATTATCAAAGAGAATGAAACATACATTTATAAAAGAGTTGTACAGAAATGCTCATAGAAGCTTTATGCATAATAGTTCTAAATTGGAAATAGCCAAGATGTGTATCAACAAGAGAAGAGCAAACTAACTGTGGTATATTCACAAATGAAATACCACTCACCAATAAAAAAGAATCAAGCTACTGACATACACAACATGGCTGAATTTTAAAATTATTATACAAAGTAAGTATCCTTACAGACACAAACATCAACATAATACTTTATGCTTCCACTTATATGAAGTTCTAGTGCAAACACAGCTAATATATTGGAGATAGAAAAGAAAAGTGATTTTTCTGGTCAGGGATGGTATAGATGAGTGAGAAGGGACATGAAGGAAATTTCTGGAGTAATGATAATGTTCCATATTTTGATGCACAGGCATATATAATTATCATTACTCAGTGAATATATACCTAAGATTTTGGCATTTTGTTGTCATACATTTTATATCAATAGAAGAAAAGTACAAACATGAATTTTGACTAATGATATGCATATTGATGGATACATAGGAAATAAGTCAAATACAGTAAAATATTCATGGTAAGAACTGGGTGGTAGGTCTGTGGGTGTTAATTTAAAATTCTGTCCAGCTTGCTGTATCTTTGAAATTTTCATAACAAAATACTGGCGACAAGTTCTCTCTTCATTCCTTCACAAAATTTCCACTGGCTTTTCTCCATGTAGACTCAGGAGTCACAAGCAGCTGTTACTTTGGGGCTATGCCATCCTGAAGACTGAAGCCTGGGGAACACCCTGGCAAAAAAGGAGAGATAACTGGACTCTAGCCCCCCATTCGTTAAAATGCTGGATTAGGAGAAAAAGCCTCTACTAAGATGTTCCATCACTGGGCACTGGAATTGCTGCTCTACAATCATTATGGAAAAAAAAAAAAACACTTTTTCTTGCTCCCAAGATTCTTTCTTCCTTCCACTCTTACCTATGGGAAGTATGTAAGTCATTGACAAACCCAAATCTCCCTGTCCGCCCACACTTGCCACTGTTTCTCCCCACATTCAGCGCTATCTACATATTTCTAAGGATATAGATTGGTGGATATTTTTCTTCCCTCTAATAAAAAAATACTTGTCAAGATTTCATGCCCGTGCTTCAAGAAGTATACATGTTCCTTGTATAGATCAGAGCACAAAGTCACACGTCAATCATAAAATGGTTCATATAAATGTCACGACTCAGAGCCATAGGATGCACGGTCCTCACATGGAAGAGACAGGAGTTCAGGAATTAAAACTGTCTCTTTCAACAGATTTCAACTAAAATCTAAATCTACTTTGAGGGGTTTCTAACCAGACCATGTACTCCCCAGAGAAAAAGCAGTAATGTACTCTGAGGTGTGATGCCAAAATCTCTCCACTCTTTCTTCCTCTCATGACAATCTTTCCTTCTTTGATTCCCTTCTTCTGACTACTTCCCTTAGAATTACTTATACTTACAGTATTGCCATGTGTCATACACATGATAAACAATACAACTTATTCATATATGAATGATTAAGTCACTGGTTTTTGGTGAAAATGTAGCTTTATAAAAACTACCATGTCTTCATTCCAAATGATCTAGTCTTCATTTATAGGCAAAGCTCTGACACGAAGAGGGCCTGAATACCTTCCAAAGTCAGCCGTGCTGGAAGCCCACACAGGAGCTGGTCTCCCAAGCTGCTTCCTGCATTTTTTTACATATCTGCTGTTTTTCCTAATGCCATGTACTTACTCCTTGTGAGTACTGGAAACTCCTCTGATATTTGCCTGGTCACTCTAGTGAAATACCTGCATTTCATCACCACTTTCTGCTATGGACTGAAGATACATATTCTCCCAAAATTCATATGTTGAAACCTAATGCCCGGTATGATGGTATTAGGAAGAGGGTTTTTTGGAAAGTGATTAGGTCATAAGGGCTCCACCCTCATGCCCTGTTAAAGAAGCCTCCAGAGAGCTAGACAGTCCCTTCTACCCTGTGAACCTACAGTAAGAAACATCCATCAGTGAGGAATCAGGCCTCACCAGACACCAAATCTACTGGCACAATTATCTTGCTCTTCTCAGTCTCCAGACCTGTGAGAAATAGATTTCTTTTGCTTATAAGCCACTAAGATTATGACATTTTGTTACAGCAGCCCAAGCAGTTCAAACTGCCAATCCTGAGCCCTCACTATAATTTAGTGGGCTGAAAAAGTTGTTCTGATTTCCCCTTCTTTAACTGGCCTTAGAGGAATTAAATTCCCAAGACAGCATTTTACTTCTATCTGGGCTCTTGGATGACCAGTGTGTCTGATTTTCCCCATCACCAAGAGCCACCTGTCATTTGTGAACTGCAGGAGCTGAAATACACTCTGACAATCATAATGGCCCACTTGGAACCAGAAAGTTTCTGACTCCTCTCGGGAGTACCACAGTGAACCTATACAGTCAGGCTGTGAAGTTCTTGAATAGGACAAGGCCTGGGATTGTTCTTCAAAGGGAAGAGAAAGGCAGCCATCACCAGAAGAGAGCAATTTCTTACAGATCCTAAAATGGCTCCAACTGAAGGCATGTTGACACACTGACTCCAAGTTGGCATTTAAACCCAACCTTCACTGGCATTTAAGATGCTGAGGCAGCTGTTCTGATTTTCTCTTGTAACTAAAAATTAGCCTTTGAACCAAAAAGTTAAATTCTCAAGGTTGCACAAGAAAATTCCTATCTCAGTGCCTTAGGAAAGGCAAATGGCTGGTGCCCGTTTGTCCCAGAAAAGAAAAAAAAGGCAAAGATAATGTGCGTTATTTTTATAATTTGAATTGAATATATATATATTCAACAAAAGAGTCTAGAGTTAGGAGAAATTAAACAACTTTGATGTTAAAAATCCATCCAGTTAATCTTTGAGGTTTCTGTTTCTTTGTTCATGATAAGTATACAAGCATGCAGCTTTTAGACATTGGAGTGCACACTGGAACTTCAATTATTAAGAAGTTGTCAAGGTCTGCTCCTTCTCTTAAAAAATCTATAATTAAGGCTTTATTGATTTGTAAATATATATCCATAGCAGGTAGAATGACTTTTAAGAGCCCTCATTCCTGAGTCACACTGTTTTGGTCTTGAATTACAATTTCCTCATGAATCTTATTTTATTGTCTTAAGCCTTCATTTTCTTATTTGTAAAATGAGGATAATAATAACAGTATATCTTGCACAGAGTTGTGAGGATTCAATTGGATTTCGTTACAAAGCACTTAGCACAGCGCCTGGCACATAAAAAGCTTTCAATAAATATGAGCAATTATTACTGCAGTTATTGTATTATTACTATCATTGAGCTAAACTTTTCTCTAACCATGTTTATATAATTAATCTCATTAGTCAATCTTCATTTCTTCAGTAGCACAAAGATAAATTTCAACTTTCTAAATTGTTTTGAATAAATCTGGTCTTATTATAGTTCTTTTATCCAAAACTAATTAATTAATAGATTTGCAAATAATAAAATTTCATTATACTTTGGATTCTTCAAGTGACTAAACCCCCCAAAGCAATAAAAAATCATTAAAAGCAACAACAACTATTTTATGATAAAGTTCATGAAGAGATTGAAATACTTATACTACTTACATAAAACATGAGTGCAAATATTAACATTTCCATGGGGAAAGATAATGAATTTCTAATGCCAAACAATTTCACTAGCCTATAATATTTTCTTACATTTGTTTTATATTTTTAAGAAAATACTCTTTGTATATCATCAGTTTAATGGTATTATTATTGGTAGTTCATAAAACTTCAGGTTTCTCTTAATCCTTTAGAGGTTCTGTGTAATTGTTCTAGTAAATCTCTGAAGTGAAGACACCAGAAGAAGACCTAATTATGGAAGCTATAACAAGGAATAGGCCATTGGCTATTTCTTGATTATATCACTGAGCAAATTTTTTCTTCCCTAGAAAGACCTTGGGACTTACAAACATGTATTTTTAATAACCCTAACAAAAATAACTGGCCTTACTAAGAGGCTGTCTATCCTTCCTACAAACAGGCTGCATTCTTCAGAGACCTCACAAAAATTTACTAAGGAGTTATCCCGAACAAAAATGTATGGCTACACTGCTAAGGCCTTCTTTGCCTATACAGTCAAAGTAAGTGCCTGTGTTTGATTTCACAGGTGTTAGAAAATCCATACCTCAGACTCCATGAGATTTAGTTTAGTATATGTTCATTAAGCACCTACTAAGTCCCAGATGCTAAAGGTACTGAACTTGGTGCCAGTTTGGTGCTAAATGTGCTGAAATAAATAGGACATTAGGTCTCCCTAACTTCCAGGTACTTAGAGCCTAATGCCAGGAAAACAATTGTAAATAAATGCTGTGACATTCAGCATGATACATACGCTATGACAGAGGCCAACGTAAGTCACCAAAACCCTCTACTGCCAGCCCACGAATGCATGAATTTCCCCTTAAAGATATAAGACTTTGCATTGTATTATTAGAGATAAGGTTTAAAACAGAAATATCCCAAGAAAATAAAACTGAATCAAATACAGACTAAGGTAGTGGTTTTAAAACTGTGCTTCATCAAAAAACAACAACAACAACAACAACAACAAAACTGTGCTTCATCAATTTCATGTGCGTTCAGGGCTCTTCCTTCTTTCAATCAGAATACCTCAGACCTGTTTTGTTCTGTTTAACATATTTGAGATCTTCCTGAATTTTGTAGGAAATACTCCTTGGGGGATCCCTGGGTGGCTCAGCAGTTTAGCACCTGTCTTCGGCCCAGGGCATGATCCTGGAGACCCGGGATTGAGTCCCACATCAGGCTCCCTGCATGGAGCCTGCTTCTCCCTCTGCCTGTGTCTCTGCCTCTCTCTCTCTCTCTCTCTCTCTTTCTCTGTGTCTCTCATGAGTTAATAAATAAAATCTTAAAAAAAAAAAAAGGAAATACTCCTTGGCTAAAAATAACAAACACACAGCAAATCATTAAAAAGCAAATTAACAAAGGATTGAATATTACTGTCTGTGCTGAAAGATCTTCTAAAAGTAGGTTCAGAGGAAGGGCAAGGTTAGGTTAGGAGAGGGGAGAAGCTTGGGGATGAGGTGCAGAAGAGGGAAGCTGGAAGGTGGTTTAATTCATTCCAGGGCAAAGAGTTGTGGAAACTAGGAAGTGAAGGGAAGCCCTTGAAGAGAAATCTCAACTAAAATAGTTTATACTCAATTTCATTACATATAAGTGAGAAAAATATAATTTGTCTAATTTCTTCTCAAAAAGTTCAAAAACCAAGTGAAACCCAAATTCCAAGTGGCATATGGCCTTCATCTCCTAAAACCTATATTCAACCATCTGATCATTCCACAACACATTCTTCATTAAGATCCAACTCTTTAGTTCCAAGGTAACACAGCATTCTGTTGAGTTGTCTCTTCCAGTTTTCCTCACTTCCCCACTTTCTTTTTTCCTTCTTTAGAAAAGTCGTTTATTGCCTTTGTAACAGTAAGTGATTAATAGGTTTCCTACCTACCTCAGGGAGATTTTACAGTGCGGCTCCCCTCCAAAAAAAAAAAAATCTCTCTATGTTAATCTTCCTCAGAGTGGGATTTGGTTGCTAAGGAGACACAGAGGAATTCTCAGCTCTCAATATCAAGTCTTCAAATATAATTTACGTAATTGTGGGCATGACCCAAAGGCAAAATGGAACTAGAGAATATTCCTCCTCCACTTTATGGATCTTCTTCCCTTTCTGCCCTTTCCATCTAAAAATGTGCTGTGTTATCCAAATAGAGAGTTACAGTAATCCACGTGGAGCCTAGAATAGACGCCTGCTGGACTGTACCATATACTTCCTGGGGTCACAAGAGCCAAGGGAAAGCTGCTTAACCAGAAATCCCAACCCTCTATGCAGGACTCTATGTTTCTCAATCAGGCTATCAAAGCCTAAATTCAAGATTACCTGAAGGGTTGCCAAGTCTAGATCAGCTCTGTAAGAAATACAATGTGAGCCACATATGTAATTTAAAATTTTCTAGTAGTCATATTTTTTAAAACTGAAAAGAGATGAAGTTAATTTTAATAACACATAGCAACCAATTGCTATAGATTTTATTTAAACTATATCCAAATATCATTTCAACATTAACCAATATTAAAAATTAATGAGATAATTTTCAAAATCTTGTGTGTATTTTGCATTTATACACCTCTCAATTCATATGCTGGCCTTTAATCAAAAATACTCGATCTGTATTTAGATTTTCTATACTATCCACTTGCAAAAATATATTCACATACTCAAGTTGCTCCAGATATGGTTAAAAGTTTTCCAATAACTGAATTATCAGTTTTTGGATTGAAATTAAAATGAATTAAAATTAAATGGTTCTTTAGTTTCACTGGTAACACTCCAAGCACTGAATAACCATATGTGGCTAGTAGATACCATATTGGACAGGACACTAAATTAAAAGTTGCTATAGATATCTCAAAAGTTGGTTATATTTAAATAAAAGGAATGAGATGAATTCTTACAAGGTACACCAATAACAGTAGTGTTCCTAGGATTAATAATTAAAAGTTTCCTCAAAGCTGTTGGATTATCACGCATTATGCACTGAGTCATCATGGAAGTGTGATACTCACATTCTGCTTTATCAGACATAGCCTCTGCAGCAATCAAGATGGGAAGTTAGGGTGATCTTCTTTTTTGAAAGTTGGGCTCCAAGTCCCTAAACACAATTACATTAAATAATGTATTGATGCTAGATATTTATTTTTAGCTTTTTCACTCACTCAGAAAAAAAATTGGATGAATTATTAACACTTTTCATACATCTCTCTTCTCCTCTAAAATCTTTAATGCCTGCCTCTCCAAAAGAGAGTGATAACAACAGCCACCACTGAATGGGGCTCTATAGTTTACCAAGTGTTTGTATACATATTACATTACTGGTTCTGAACAACCTGACAGGAACTATTTGGCAAATGTGGAAACCAGAACTCAGAGATGTGAAACAACTTGTCAATGTAAGATGTTATTTAGTGTCATATACAGAACTCAAATCCACATATTTGGGTGCAAGTCCCTAGGCAGGTCCCTCTGATTTCTTACTATTTTCCAAATAATATCCAGTTAATACTGGGCACATGCCTTACACATCCTTGCCTTGAACTTACACACTTGAGTTTAGATTGATGCTAGCCTCCTACTCAGACTGCCGTGTTTTCAAACGTTTTTTGTTGTTGTTGTTGTTGTTGTTTTTTTAACATATGTCCTACCCATCCTTACAGCATAGGTTCAAATCCTACCTCCTTCATGATCACCCCGGCCTCTAGGGATCTGTTCTTGTCAACACAGTAGTTATGTTGTCCATGCCTCTCACTTGAAACTTATCATATACTTCTGTGTGAGGAGCTAAAAAACAGAGTGATAGATATAAACAGAAGTCCTGTATTCTCAATTAAACTTCAAGTGCCTTGAAAACCAAACTATACTTCATACCAGGGGCTCCTCAACCCTGAATGTCTATTAGAATTGCCTGGGTGGGAAGTGATTAAAAATATATCAGTCTAGAGTGGGATGGAGGCATCTGCATTTTTTAGCCTTCCCCAAAGATTCAAACGTTCAGCTGGAAGAGCAAACTCCTGCCTTTTACCTTGACTTTCAGGGTTCCCAGCTCAGTGCATCACATTCTGGAGGTGCTCAATAAAGGGCTGATTAATGTGTTTATTGAGCTGAGCCCTTATTCCTACATTTGAAATTATCATTACTTCCAAAGGATTATCCAAAATGCATCAAATGTTACCTCTACAGCCAGGGAGTCAGTTACACCGGTGCATACTACTGTGTGCTCACATTGCTTTATAATTAGAAATAGCAATATTAAATGCTTTACAGAGCCTCATGGAGCCTCTTGTTCTAAAAGTCTACGTATAATTTCAGTTAGCTGACTAGAGCATCAAACTGTGGTGAAGTATTCAAGACCTGTTAAATAATTTGGGGCTTATTTGAGATAATCCACAAGCCACCATGGCCCTATGGAAGTCATGACTCTATAGCCACATGCTATTAGATGAAGGCTACAACACTTTTCCTCAGCTTCTAACCAGAGGGGGGAAAATATTATAGTTACAGTTTTAAAATAACAAATCTGGAACATCCAAAAATGATTAATTCTCAAATTGTCAGCATTATACCATGGGCAAGAGCACAGACCATGTACCTTATCTCCCTAGTTCTACAAATGAACTGGTACAAATTAAAATACTGCACCTCTCCCTTAGCAATTAACAATCAGAACTCATCTTCTAGTCTGGCTTAATTACTGTCTTCTTTCCATTTAAGTATAAGAAGAAAATAAAGGTGTTTTGTGCTCTGTCATTTTCTTGTTTTAATCTCCATAGAAATGGACTCTTCTCTGGGGCGTTTGGCTCCTCCACCTTAATTCAGTGTGCCAGGAGTGTCAGCCTGCATTAAATTGGCTGGCAAGCAAGACATCCCACAGTCCTTTTAATGCACAAAACTAGCCAAGCATCCTAAGGGGTGCTGGCATGATAATGCCCCTGCAAACCTGAGTGATAAGGGATGCTGAGATAGGAGGTGGGGGTGGAAGAGGCCCTGGAGGATGGACTTGCCTAAAGATAAGCAGCACACTGACATGGAATATCAACAGATAGGGCCCCTCTCCACTTTCATCCCAAGGAGATAGTTAAGAAATGCTGAGTCCCTCCTGATACATGATCAATTAATAAGTATAAATCTAATATCTGGGTTGTACAAGGGTTGTAAGCCATCTATTTTGGAAGAAAAGGCAAGTGCATAAGTCAAAATTTTAAATAAAATACAAACAACTATATACCAGATGTCAAAGGAAGTTTATGAGCTAAGGTACCTGGCTGGCTTAATCAATAGAGCATCCAACTCTTGATCTTGGGATTGTGAGTTTAAGCCCCATGCTGGGTTTAAAGATGATTTACATTTAAAAAAAAAAAAAGAAAGTCTATGAGCTCTGTAAATAAGTGATATAAACCCATGAGTGCCATGAGTTCAAATGAAGATGGGATCCCTGAAGGCTGAAGGTTGAGAAAACGACCTAAGAAAAGTGTTGAAGGGAGACTGAGCAGGATGGAAGGGTGGGTGAGGGATAATAGTGATATTCTGAACAACTGGTTTAGCACAGGCATCAACTAGTTAGAACTGGGTGCTGGACAACACACCTATATGGTACTGAATATCAGTCCTTAGCAGGTCAGATTGGCTGATGTCGGAGAAACAGAGAGAAGCAAGTGTGAGGTGAGAATGCACATGGTTTGGGAGACAGCAAGTATGGCTCTGTTTGATTTAAGCAGGGGGTTGGATTAAACACTGTTGAAATAGGCAACAAACCGTTTTAATATGTGGAAGCAGGCACTGACATAAGTAGTGTTCTGGAATGTGACTTCTGTAAGGAAGGGCTTTGTTTTCTTCCCTTCTATAGTCCCAGCACCTTAAAAAAGGACCTGACATAGACAAGGATTTCAAAACCTGTTTGTAAAATGAGTAATTAACGGCAACAGCAGGCTGGACAGGGATGCCCTAGCTTCTCATGTCTTTTCAGGCACAGGAAGAGAAACTTCCAGTAGACGCAACTCAAGGATCTTGTATTGGGTTAACAGGAATGCTAAGGGTTTCTAATTCCATTACTATATGGATAAAAAAGCAAACAAAAGTGGAAAGAGTATTTCCCTTCCTTATCTCTTTAGCTTGTCCTTCCAAAGCAGATGACTGATAAGACTTTATCATGGTAATTAAGGATTCTGGTGACAAAAAAGCTGCCCAATGGTATGCAGCAGAACTTGGGCATGTCATGATCCACGGATCTAGACAGGCAGTTTTAACAGTTGATAGAAAGGTGAATCAGAGAAATTCTCCTAATCTTCAATCAAAAGATATTTCCTTCCCATTTCTCCATGTCTACCCAGTTGGTCAAGACATAAAATGTTGAGTCCTCCTATATTTCACCTACTACCTCCAATCGATCAAGTCTTCAACATTTTTTAAATATTTATTTATTTATCTATCTATCTATCTATTTGAGAGCAAGAGAATAAACAAAGGAGGAGGGGCAGAGGGAGAAAGAGAGAGAGAGAGAGAGAGAAAGGGAAGCAGGCTCCCTGCTGAACAGGAAGCCAACGAATGTTTTGATCCCATGACTTGAGCCGAAGGCAGACACTTAGCTAACTGAGCCACTCAGGCGCCCCAAGTCTTCTACATTTTAACTTCAAAATACTTCTGCTTCTCCTCATTTTCCCTCTCCCAGTCACAATCATTTAGTTCTTGGAATGCTGAAACAGCCTCCTAACTGCTCTCTTGATTCCTACTCTTATCCTATTCCAATTCCTTCTCCACACAGCAGGAGTTATCTTCTTAAATGTGTATCTGAGCATATCATTTCCTTTCCATGACTTCCAAACACATGTAGAATAAAACCTAGCTCCTTGCCTTGGGCTTTTCTCTCTCTTGCAACCGCGTAAATATGGATGAAAAATACAGGACTGATATCCCACAGCTCCACTGAGAACTGAGCCAAGGGGCTTGCTTTGACTTTTCTTAGCCTTTAGTTTCCTCATTTGCAAAATAAAACTATTGGGCAAGAAGATCTCAAAGGCCCCATTACTTTCTAAAATCTATAATTACATTGCTTGTGTAATGTATGCAATTCTAACTGGTCCCAAGTTTCAAAAACGGCATGGTTAAGAGTTCATGTCTCCCTCCTGTCCTTCTCCACTTTTCTTTGTTCTCTGGAATGTGGGAGCAGAATACCCAAGAAAGTGGCCTAGGTCTGACCTCTTTCCATCATGTCCCTGGCTGCAACCCTCCTCATGTGCCTCTCAACCCTTGGCCAACAGAGTCACCCTCTCAGGTTTCATCCTATCATTTGTCCTGTTTCATTCTCTGGTAAGTGTGAGCCCTCCTCCACTTTTTCTCTTTCAAGTCAACAAGGACCGTCAGGTCATTTTCCAGACTTGTTTCCTGACTTCTCTCTACCACGTCTCCGTGTCCCTCTGACCAGACTGGCACCAAACAACAGGAATGAGAAAACAGAAAAGAGTGCAGGGAAAGAAAACAACAATATTAACAGAGCCAAATTTAGGCATCTCTAATGGGTAAAAAAGTATATCAGACAATAGGAGAATAAAAACTTTACAACTGCATAATTAAAATTATGAACCAAATTAGTCAGATGGCCATAAAATGAGTTGGAAAGAAGATACTTCATGAATTCATGATCATTAATATCAGCTAAGCTGGGATCCTGGGGAACACGTGTAACAGTGGCAAGCACACTCCTTTCCTGACGCAGAAACCTCCCTCTGATTCTCTAATTAACTTGGGTAAATAAATTTCTCAGAGCCAGGAAGTGGGAAGGAAAAGGACATAATTGAGTCATTAGGATATTGCTCCAGCTGACACAAACATCGAGTCAGAGAGCACTGGAGAGAGAGCAAAGTTGGATTTCAGTCCTTACTCTGCCATTGCCAAAACGCGTGATCTTGGCCAAACCACTTAACCTCACTGAATTCCACCTCCTTCCTGAATTCCTAGCTACAAATGAAGGATTTAAAATAGACACACAATTTTTAAAAGAGCAGCTTCAACCTATGTTTAAAGGAACTCCTCCTCAGAAGCCAATGAGA